GAACCTACGTTCGGTACTTTGAACCTACGTTCGGTACTTTGAACCTATGTTCGGTACTTTGAACCTACTTTCACGTTTGGACCCACCAGAGAAGCAGTCTCTGAAGGAACCTTTAGGTCCAAGGGTTAGGTGTCAAATCATCTGTGATGCTTGTTACATTTCAGACATGGTTTTGTCTCCTGGGCTACAGACCAAGTTACAGAACCTTCTACAAAGACAACAGAAGTTCTAAGGGGTACAGAACCAGTCAAACACATCTGATCTCTTCTTCTTCAAAGGTGAAGGTTCTGTTTGCCGGGCAGGACATCGACAGAAGCCCCTTCATGGTACATGTGTCCAAGGCCATGGGAGACCCGAGCAGAGTTCAGGCCCGCGGACCAGGACTTCAGTCATCGGGGAACGTGGCCAACAAACCCACGTACTTTGACATTTATACTGCAGGTAATGGCCCAACACTGGACATGTTTCTGGACTTGAGGGGGCCGCCTCAGTCCTCAGAACCATTTCTGGTACATCACCTGATTTTGTTTTCTTTTTCTTTTTTAACATTAATTATTCATTTTTTACTACGTTAAAATCAACAATTAGTAACAACAAACAAACAAACTTCAAGGATCCAAAGTTCTTTATTGTCATTCACACAACATGTGGTACATGAGGTGGAACGAAACTGTGTACACAGGGTCCCAGTTACATCCAACAAAATACAAACTGTAAAGAAAAACAGTGATGAGATCTAAAATATGAAGTAAGAATACACTAAACCAAGAATACACTGAGCCCTAATAGTACAAAACAATGTGCCAAACCAACAGCAGCACGAACATGAGTCTGTGCGAGCAGATGGGGACGAATGAACACAGCGGCATGAAATAAATCAGCAGCATGAGATCAGCAGCATGAGATCAGCAGCACATATCAACAACCAAGTGACATTACAGTGATTTTTCACAGTGATTTTTAGGGGTCCTCCGATAAATCGGCCCCGATTTCCAAAAATTAAGGAAATTGGCCGATACTTTGATGAGAAACTGATTTGACAGATTTTTTTAGTTTTAACAACAATTGTTTGAAGTTCATTTATATTTCAGAGCTCTACCTCATGGCCAGTTAAACAAATTTGTATTGTTTCTAGGATATTGATCAAGGGGATGTTTTTCAATAAAATAAGATTGGAACATTGAAGGTGCATTGTGAACTTACAACACTTGACAGTGTCGCTTAGAAAACTAAATCGGTATCGGCCAGAAAACTGCAATCTGTGCACTCCTCTATGATTCTCCTGGTCAGAGATTCATGAGTCTAACAGCCTCAGGGTAGAAGCTGTTCCTCAGTCTAGTGGTTCTACACTTAATGTGTGTGCTGGGTGAGTGTGGTCCTTCATGATGCAGGTGGCCCTCTTCCTGCATCTGGAGGTGTAGATGTCTGTGATGGTGGGGAGACTGACTCCAACATCTTCTGTGCAGCCTTCACCACTCTCTGCAAAGCTTTTCTTTCTGCAGCTGTGCAGCCTTCATGCCACATGTTGATGCTGGAGCACAGGATGCTCTCCACTGCACACCTGTAGAAGGAGGTGAGGACTGAGCTTCCAGACCAGCTCGTCTCAGCCGCCTGAGGAAGTAGAGTCTCTGATGATCTTTCTTCATCAGGCTGGTGGTGTTGTTGCTCCAGCTGAGGTTGTCATTCATGTGTACACCCAAGTACTTGTAGCTGAGACCACTTCCACCACAGATCCTCTTATGTTCAGGGGGGTGTAGATGTTTTTGTTCCTTCTGAAGTCCACAATCATCTCCTTTGTCTTCTTCACATTGATGTGAAGGTTATTCTCTCTGCACCAGCTCTCCAGGTGTTCCACCTCTTGCCTGTAGCTGGACTCATCATTGTTTGTGATGCATCCCACCACCGCTGTATCATCTGCAAACTTTACAATGTGACAGCCTGGATGGGTAGCTGCACAATCAAACTTACCCCAACAAATAGAAGAAAAAAACTATAAAAAATATTTTTTTAAATAAGCAAAATGTGATAAAAGCAATAAAATATACATAAATACAGCTACAGTTGCATACACATTACATACTGTCTAAGTATTTATACACATGAAAACACAACTGTGTGATTCTCAATGAGCTGAACTTCTAGACCTTCAACAGGACACACTGACGCTCCAGGTTATTTCAAATGATCCTCAGTCGTACTCAGTAGTACTCAGTAGTACTCAGTAGTACTCAGCAGTACTCAGCAGTACTCAGCACTACTCAGTAGTACTCAGCAGTACTCGGTAGTACTCAGCAGTGCTCAGTAGTACTCAGCAGTGCTCAGTAGTACTCAGCAGTACTCAGCAGTACTCGGCAGTACTCAGTAGTACTCAGCAGTACTCAGCAGTACTCAGCAGTACTCAGCAGTGCTCAGTAGTACTCAGCAGTACTCAGCAGTACTCAGCAGTACTCAGTAGTACTCAGCAGTCTCTGCAGTACTCAGCAGTACTCAGCAGTACTCAGCAGTACTCAGCAGTGCTCAGTAGTGAGCTCACCTTCTGGACCGCCGACAGGACACACAGACGCTCCAGGTTATTTCAAATGATCCGTACTTACGGTCAAAGTGAGTTTTCACATTTAACTCTTTGTTTTTGTAGGTGCTTCTTGGATTTGGGATTTTCTCAGTTGATCCAACATTTTTCTGATCTTTGTGGTAAATTTAGATAAAAGTGACATTAGGATGGATAATACTGATGTCCCAGGATTCATTTATTCAACTTTTGATGTTTTATTCTAACGGTTGGTTCCCTCAGCAGAACATCTTTCCACCTCTCTGACGTGGTCCACAGATAACCACAGTCTTTCTCCAGAGCTCTGAGATCCTCTTGTCCTACATCTGATCTCCAGGGGCGGGTTCTGGAGATGTGGGTGTCATAATCGTGGACTCAAACGACCGGAGGGACACGGTGGAGATCGTCCTGGAGGACAGAGGTGACAGTATCTTCCGGTGCACCTATGTTCCGGTCCTGGAGGGTCCCCACACCGTCTACGTGACCTTTGCAGGGCAGCAGATTCCCAGAAGCCCTTTCACCGTCCACATCTCTGAAGGTGAGCTTCACTTAACAAAAACTCAAAGCTCTAGACCTGATCTTCTCTAAACCCTGATGCTTATTTAGGAGTCATCAGAGTTTCTTGTTTAGTTTCTTGTATTTCTCAGATATGACCTTCACTTTCACCACGGCATCAGTTTCAGTTCAGAATGGGTCTGTTTGGGCTGACGTAAGAACAGAACCGCGTCGGACGGAGGAGCCTGAGACTTACCGTATGGTCTGGGTCTACGTCTGGACCTTGGTCCTCACAATGGACTCTGTTGCCTCAGCCAGTGAACTCTCAGACTTGGATTCATTAAGAGACTGAACCTTGCAAAGGAAGGTGCACTCTGCCAGCCAGCATCGTCCGTCCACGAGGGTGCACTTTCCTCACGTTCCACTCCGAGGAGACCTTAAGAACCTGCTAAAAGACTTTTCAAAGCTCGGCAGCATCCGTGACGCCAGGTTGAAATATTGACGTCTCCAGAGCGCCGCTGGTAACTGAGGAGAAGAAACCAAGGAAGAGGAGCGGTCAGCTGCCGCGCTGCCTTCACGAACACGAAAGGTCCAGTCATCACTGTATCGATGTAGAACTGATCCGGACCCGTTTCAGGCTGGTGTCTGTGACTCGTGGAATCTGCGCTGATGATACGTAAAACATGTTCCAAGTCCAGCTCTGCCTGTTCGTCAGATTACATCGTAAACACGGGCCAACGTCCTGAACTGCAGTCATTTCAGAAGTGATGCAGGATGAAAGAGAAACGTGTTCGGCTTCAGAGTAGGAGTCCGTCCTTTTTGGTTTTGAACCTTTTTTGAACAGATCATGGCGTGAATGAAGAGGACCTTCAACATTTTGTTGTCTTTACTGACACTTCTTCTGATTCGTTGAAGTAAAACGAGGAGAAAAGTTCTCTTCTGACGCACTGTTCAGGGTTTGTCCTGCAGACTTTTTCCGTCTTCTGGTGTGGTGGTGCTGCCACCTGCTGGTCTGGAGGTCTCTTCCTGAATGTTTGGTGACTGTTGTTCCCTCCTTCAGTTCCACAGAGCACCCCTGTTCCCGGCTCTTTGGTGCAGGTTGTACCTCAGTCCATACGCACCTCCCCCTCAGACAAGGCAAGGAGAGCCCCCCCACCAACTCCTCCAAAACCAAGGCGACCAAGTTAGTACAGGCTGGGGTCTGTGGGGGTGGGGGGTTGTGCTGGCCCCGTGTTTTCTGGGTCATCTGAGGGGGTCTTCCCAGATTCACAGCATGCTCTGCTTGGTCCTCAGCTGTTGTGAGTGAATGTGGGAGTGGAGCGCCCCCAGGGGGCCGGTGGATGGCTGTGTTCCTATTTAACAGAATAATCCTTTCAGCTACTTCTGCAGGTAATCTTTACCTCTGGGTTGGTTCTGGGCTTCCGGGACATCAGGTTGGACATGTTTCCAACAAAGTTCATGTCTGAGGTTTGAAGTGTAGCCTTAAAATCTGAAAACATGAAGCTCTTGGTGCTTTAAGCGTGTTCTCATCTCAGTGATGAGAAGAAAATGAGCCCCGACTTGTGCGGTTGAAACAGAACTCTGTAACAATAAAACAGATTTATTTCTGAAGGTTCTTGTGGTTCCTTTAGTGTCTGACGTCAGCCAATCACAGGCAGCAGCCACAGCACCAAGTCCATGCTCAGTGATCCACAGTCAGTACATGCAAACACCAGGTGTCTTTGGGGGCGGGGCTTTAGAGGCACAGAGAAGCACAGCAGAGAGGGATGGGGTGTGGCCTGTAACATAAACCATCCATATGTCCATCCATCCATCCATCATCCATCATGCATCAATTCACCCATCCATCATACATCTATTCATCCATCCATCATCCATCATTCATCCATCCATCATCCATCTATTTATCATCCATCCATTCATCCATCATCCATCCATCTATCATCCATCCATTCATCCATCCATCCATCATCCAGCCTTCATCCAGCCATTATCCATCCATCATCCATCAATTCACCCATCCATCATACATCTATTCATCCATCCATCATACATCCATTCATCCATCCATCATCCATCTATTTATCCATCCATTCATCCATCCATTCATCCATTCATCATCCATCATACATCAATTCACCCATCCATCATATATCTATTCATCCATCCATCATCCATCCATTCATCCATCCATCATCCATCTATTTATCCATCCATCCATTCATCCATCATCCATCCATCTATCATCCATCCATTCATCCATCCATCCATCATCCAGCCTTCATCCAGCCATCATCCATCCA